TTTGCCATAATAGAGATTTGTATGTTAAATACTGCAGTCATAAAACACTGTAATTCAAATTAATTGGCTACTCATTTCATTGTTGTTTATGGGGCGTTGCTGGTGCAGATTACATCCTACATGTTTCCGTGTAACATTCAATTTAATTTTTAATCAATTATATTTGGTAAAGTGCTTCAAGACTTAATTTTATGTGAAAGACGCTACATAGATACATGCTACGCTTATGATAGCGAAGCGTTTGTTTTATCTCATCTGACATAAAAAATGGCAGTTAATGCTCTATGTAACTACAGGATTGCTGGAAATTGGTAGAAGCAAATAGCCGACTTTATAAATAAACAGCAAATATAATTGGATTCTCTCCTGAAAACGTCACTGTTGGCCCTACTTGCCTTAATTTATTGATATGAATAATCATAGTGTGTTCCAGCCAGTTAATAGTCTTGCTCTTTATCTTCATCAGTAGAAGTCATCATTGCTTACAGATACATTTTGACAGCATCCCAAAAGTAAGGGCACAAATTCCTCTCTGCAAATATAGTGGACCAGGATGCTGCAATGCCATATGACAGTTCAATCAAAGTGATTTGCTGTAGCAAATTTGGTTTGCTCAGTTGCCCAGCTGATAGTTCATGCCTAAAATCACACATAATGTTGACAGTGAATTGATGCTGTAGGGGTCTAACTGGAGTCAAAATAGCAGGTAATGGAAAGAAAAACTAGATATCAATAACGGGGTCAATTGTGCAATGTTTCTTAAATGATTTCTTAATTAAGAAATGGGGAAGTTCCAGTAACCAGAGTTCGGCCACATACATCAAATGAATCCCTAAAATGGGTTGAGTTGGAAGGATTGTAGTGTCGGCCTAGACTGAGAGCTCGAAATTCCAATGTGGGGCTTGAATTCACAGCCTTCCGAGACAAGAATGCTACCAACTGAGGCAAGCCGTCACACAGATTTCAATCCAATTTCCCAGTCTTCAACTTCCTTCTAAAAATCTAACATGTGGAACTTTTAAGAATTGCCTTTCGAAAAGAAGCGTCAATGATATCCACTGGAGAGCCCTCATCAACTGGTCCAAATACGTGTGAAGAGCTCCACTACCTGGCATCGAACACTGCTAAAATGTTAGGATGATTAAGGAGCTGTGCATGCACCCAGCTGTTCAAGGACATTAAAACCCTCACTGGCTGTCTAAGAGATCGCTCAGAAATGTTGAAACTCATTAGCTGACAGAGTGACATTAGAAACCAGGCTAATGCTGCAGCCTATCACATCAAATCAATTGTGAAACCCCTTTCCTGGAGATAACATGAGGAGCAGAACTCAAAGGCAACTTTTAACATTGCTCTGACACAGAGACCTCATTAATTTGTCGCAGACAATGTTAGGACATTCGATCTTGCACTGCAATCAACCCATAATGTCGCCCTCTAGAGTTCATGGCAAATCCATTTAATATCAGCTTCTAGTGGCTCCCACTTCCACATGTATGCGGATTTCACCCAACTCTACCTTTCCTCCTCTACCCTCAACTCCATGACCCCCGATGTACTGACAGCTGCCTGTCCGACATCGAGTCCTGGACGAGAGATAACTTTCTCCAGCTCAACGTGCGCAAAACTGAGGCCCTCCTGATTGGCTCGCGTCAGCGCCTCCGCACCTCAGGCGCTGACACCATCAGCATCCAAGGCTGCACTCTCCACCTCTCAAAGCCAGTCAGGAACCTCGGCGTTCTGTTCGACCCTGAGCTGTCCTTTCTCCCTCACATCCGCGCCACAACTGGCACCGCCTTCCATCACCTCCGGAATGTCGCCAGACTACGGCACTACCTCACCCCTCACGCTGCTGAAACTCTGGTCCACACCTTTATCACCTCAAGGCTGGACTATGGGAACTCTCTCCTCGCCGGCCTTCCCGGCACCTCCCTCCACACTGCAGGTCATTCAGAACTCTGCAGCTCGTGTACTGTCCCGCACCAGACACCGCGACCACATCACTCCCACCTCCCCTCACCCTCCCCTCGCCTCGCTCGCCTCCACTGGCTCCCCATCCCCAGAGGATCGAATTCAAGATCCTCATCCTCACCTACAAGACCATTCATGGCCTCGCTCCCTCCTACCTCTCCAACCTACGATCCCCCTACCTACCTGCCCGTACCCTCCGTTCCTCTGGCTCCGGTCTGCTCCACATCCCCCGCCCCAACCGCCCTACCATCGGTGGCCGGGCCTTCAGCCTCTCAGCCCCGAGGCTCTGGAACTCTATCCCCCAGTGCCTTCGCCGCTTCCTCCCTTTCCTCCTTCAAGGCCGGTCTCAAGACCTTTCTCTTTGACCGTGCCTTCAGCTCCCCTCTCGACTCTCTACCCCCTCCTCGCTCCTCCCTTCCCTCCCCTCACCCTGACCATTCTCCCCCTTGCTCGGGTCCTGACCTAACTGTACAGCGCCTTGGGACGTCCTCCCGACGTGAAAGGCGCTCAATAAATGGAATCTTGTTGTTGTTGTTGTAGTGTAGAAAGCCCTCCGAAACATATCAGCTGGTAAATCTTTACAGACATCCACACACCGAATGCCAGTTTTGTACGAGCGGCAAGCATTCAACTAGCAAAATTCCATTAGGAAGATGAACTTTCCTTGATTCCTAACCGAGAACTGTTCTCAGTAGGACATATCATGGATGAACGGGGTATCAAGATGTTAGTGTAAAAATTACACGCCTGAGTGCGGGCTGGAAATTATAATTGGACTTGAAGTACAACAACAACAACTTGCATTTATATAGCGACCTCACGAGGGGTAGTTGGAGCTGTAGCTGGAGAGCTTGACAGTGGCGGAACCTGACCCCAAGCCAGAGGGAGGGGGGAGGTGATCGTAAGCACGATCAAAAAGGAAAGTCGGTAAGCGGGATTTCAAAGTGGGGCGGGAGGGGGCAAGGCGGAGGGATTGAGGGAGGGAGTTCCAGAACTTCCGGGTATAGTGGCTGGAAGCACGGCCGCCAATGGTGAAGCAGAGGGGGCGAGGGACGATCAGGAGGCCGTAGCCGGCCGAGCGGAGGCAGTGGGGTGGTGGAGTGGGAGGTAAGCAATTCGGATGGGTAGGGAGGTACGAGGGCCTTAAGGAAGGTACAGGTCAGCCACGATCTTATAGAATGGCGGAACAGGCTTGAGAGGCTCACTGGCCTACTTCTGTTTCTATGTTTCTAAACTGTTTGTTTGGCTGGTACTTGTGTCTCTGTGCATGTGTGTGCGTGTGTGTTTCAGCACACACACACACGCACACTTACACACACAAAAAAAATCATTGCACAGAAACAGTTTTGATACAACTTCACCACTGTCCAATATTGCCTTTTGCGCCGAGCTTTTCTGTGACCGAGTGTTCATCTCCACGACTTCCTTCTGGACTGAACTGGAATTTTAATTTCATGCTCTAGATGTTCCATTCGAACACACAGCGAGTTTCCTCAATTGTGACCAAGATATCAGCATGGTTTACAACAGGGATTGAAATACCGAGCTGTACTGGTTGCACTCTCAAAAACAATATTCCCTTGGGAAAAAAACCACAAGCGATTCGCCATCAGTTGGAGAGAACACAAACAATAGTCCGACTGGATCTTTTGAACACCTTCTAATTTCAGCAAGAGAGGTCGCATCTGATGCATTTATCAGAATGACATCTCAGTCATCGAGCAAAAAGGCAATTATTTGAATCCAATCTCGAGCCAAAGAGGTGTCTAAAATGGTTTAGGACTTGTAAACCAGATGAATAGATTTAAACAAAATGCCTGCAGGATAACAGTAACCTATTATATTTTCTACTGCTTTCCTACTGTGATCAATACAACTACGTAACAGTTTGAGAGCAAAGATCAAACTGAGCCAATATGGTTCACAGCAACTCTCCTCTAAAGTTGCCGGAAAATAAAGCTGGGTAAATTGTTTGGGTAAAAGCACAACTTATCATAACTTCAAAGAGTAATGCTCATAAGCCATTTTTTTTGTAAAAAGGAATATATAATATGTAGAAATGTCCAAGAAAGGAGAGAAAAAAGTAATAGACTATGAAAAATCACTATGAGACGAAGGAGTAAAATTCTGTTGTTTTGTAATGCATCCCTTGTGTTAATTAGCACCATTTGTTATCTATATTATGAGTCACCCAACATCCATGGGAAAGCTGGAACCATTGGTAATAAATTGACGATTCATTGAGAAATATCTCATAAAAACTCAACAATAGGTTCGCTGAAATTCATTGACCAAACGTATCTGTTCGCATTTGTATATTGCAAACTGCTAACAAATCAACGATACATGTTTGTAGGCGCACACTTGGCTATTTCTTGTCTGACTCCATCTAAATTCCATGTGCGCTGGAATCTGATGGCGTTTCTGTTGGTTAAGTTTGTGCTACGAAAATGGTCGACACACTATTCCAAATGCATCACAGATTTTCTCATCTATAATGTATCGCGACAACCTCCATTCCCCTTTCCCCTGGTCCCCAAAAAGCACTAAAGCATTAAATACTTCTGCGCTAACCCTGTCTGCTCTAATCGTACCTAACAGTCAGAATTACCTTTGCAGTTAACATTCATAATGCATTAACTTACAAGATTTGTCAAAATTATTCAACCTTAAGTAGCCTCATACTGGGAGTCAAAACAGTAACTTGCATTGATATAGCGCCCTCCATGCCAGGCAGGGTCTCAGAGCGCTTAACGATGGTGAAGCCCAATGCCGAGCCAGGGGGAGGAGGAAGGTGACCGGACACACGGTCGAAGAGGAAGGTCTTCAGGCGCAACCTGAAAATGGGGAAAGTGGGGGCAAGGCGAAGGGATTGAGGGAGAGAGTTCCACAGCTTCGGGGCGTAGTGGCTGAAGGCACTGAGTCCTTCCAGAACAAGAGAAAGATTGGAGCTCGGAGAAGAACAGTGAAAAGCAGAGAAACAAGAAAGCCAGTTGTTACAGCAAGAACAGAAAAGGGTTGCCAATTACCTGTGCATTTTTTAACACGGCTTCCTCGCTTAAATCCGTGTCGGCTCAGCTTGCAGTTGAAGTTTGCCTCCCAGAATTCTGCAAACCAGATGTTTCGTCTATTGTTCTCTAGGGTTCGACTCATGAAGTATTTATCGAAACCTGCAAGGAACGCAAGTGTGGGACATTCGTTAATGCCTTCACATTGCCACGGTTGATAGTTGAGTGTATTATAGCGCGATGTCTAATGGGATTGCTCAATAAGGAAATTGGAAGTGCAGTACATCAAACCAACTCTGCTCCGATGCTTTCACCCACAAAAACAGTCTCTGCATTTTACAATATATCTTGTGAAGCACTTTGGGACGTCCTCCTGACGTGAAAGGCACTATACCAATTGCATAATTATTATTATTAATTTTGGGGGGAATTTCTTGTCGGTCAGTGTGACATAATCCTTGGATTTGATATGGTGCCTTTCACGTCGGGAGGACGTCTCAAGGCATTTTATGGGATTTGCTGCATTTGATCCTTGCACTTGAATGGAGCAAAAGCACACGGTGAATAACAATACATATTGCCAGCTCAGAAAAATGACTGTGGAAATTCCAAGATTAAATGGCGTCTTAAGAATCTGTGTTGACATGCCGCGCGTATATCCCTGTGCCTCTTTCATTCACATCTTCCTTTCACCTGAATAGAAGAAATGGGAGCGTAGCTCTATGGCTTTCAGGACTGAGCACTGACATTTCAGTCAGTATGATATAGGTGCATATTAGACATGAAAAATTGATTCAGTTTCCATACTGTGCAGTATGAAGCTACAATACATTACCATTCACTGTCAGGCCTAAAGCAGGACAGAATACTAATCTGAGGAGTTCCTAAGGCAAAACTGTGCCACAATATACATCCAGTATCATGAATTTTTGATACATCCATGCCCTTGTGTAGTCCCAATTCAATACACTGTCCCTAATTAGACCCACATTCACTAGTATGAATGTCCAGTGCATCTGGGAAGTAACGAAGCATTCGACTCAAACCAGAAAGAAGTTTCTCCCAGTGGCCTGTCCAACACTTCCCCCACCCCACCCCCCCACCCACTCCCACGAAACGCGGCAGCCAATTGCACTCAGCAGTATCCCACAAACAGTCATGGATTGAGTGACCAATTTTATTATTTTTTGAAGGGATTATTACCCTCAGAAAAGCAATCCGCCAATCGACTATCAAGCAGGTTCCTACTTACTGCTGGGTAAACAGAGGCATGTGGAGTAAGGTAACTTGCCCAATGTTTCTCCCTGCCCGGGAATCGAACCCTCTCGCTTGCGAGGCAAGTGCTCTAACCACTAAGCTACAGGACTCCAATTAGACATATTGTCAGGACTAGGCATGAAGCATGGCCATTTGGACAGGGCACCAAATGGTCCCCATTAAACTGTATCTCCCCCAACCCCAAGTCAGCACCTTCAGCAGAAGATTGCAAACAGATGGAGTGGACAGAGGCTGTGAAAGATCCCATTTTATTGACATGTGACTTCTTGTATGTCACTCGCCATTTTATTCATTTCCTGTCACCAGTGTAGGCATGTTAAATGGTATTCATGTCACCCAACATTTGATTGATGGCTTAAACTGCTGCTGACAGCAAACATACACACAAAAAAACAGGAACGCCAAAAATGGAACGTTATTGGACTGCAATAAACTGAACACAAAATTAAGCTATCGAAAAATCCCTTTGAATTCAGCAATCTGAATATGTTTCCTCTTGAGGCCTCTGCGAGTGACACAATTAATTTAATTCCAAATTAGTGCTGGATTATGAAGTGATTTGTGCTGTAGACTAATGCCAAATGGGACCAGAGTGGAAACCATTGAAATGCATTTCATCTCGAAAAGCACACGATTGGCAAAACGGAAAGACTCACAAAGTCCCATCAGAATTGGTCAGATTCAAACCCGGGGCCCAGAGGTGAAAGCATTCAATCCGATTGCACTACATCGTTGCCTCATTAAAATGTTTAAGAATTTAAGATATTATTCAAATAGCATTAAATATTAATAGAAGCAGACACTGAATTCCTAATATTTTGTCAACTGTGAAACACTAAGCAACAGATAATGTTGTGTGTGTAGTTTGATCCTAAAAAAGTGAGTTTTCTGAGTTAATCTTGGGTAATCAATTTGGCTAATTGCAAGTTGGATTAGGGTTGTTCTTTCCTGTATATATAACATTAATGCTTCCTTATTTGGTGTCAAGATTCTCTTTGAGTAGTTGCAGTGCTGTTGACTGTTCAGAACATAAAACATGGTTAGAGGGGAGAAAATGTGGTCATACAGTGGATTCACTTTACAGTATATTCTGTGAAGCGCTTTGAGACGTCTCGAAGACACAATAAGGCGTTATATCAAATGCAAGGATTATTATCATTATTATATTCAACCAGAAGTTCCCTTTTTCTGTGCTGTTATTTCGGTATTAGCAAGTGTGTCGTCGATTGACCTATCCTAGCAGAGAAAGATTTCAGCGGAGCTCAAGGCAGACTACAACAACCATTACGTGAAAGATACTGCAAATTAATTGATTGCAGGAGACATTAACCTGGTGTTATTACCAATTCACTTTGTGTCCAATGACAGAAAGTTGCTTAGAACCTTGGAATTGAAATCTCGATTGCTGTACGACCCAGGGTATTGTTGTAGATTGATGGTAACAGTAGACGAGTAGAGTGGTACTCAATTGTTTCGAAAACTGCATGATATGCCTCAGGGATGAAGTTTAACAGTTGTCTTTAATCGACCACAACCAAGAGAAGTGAGCGAGGAAAGGAACTCAGCAAATCCAGTGCAAATGCATGAATGTTGCACATCAAGTTTTAGGGCAGCTCCAGATTGGCAGGAAAGAGAAAAGTGCAGGAAAGGTTCAATTGCCTTGAGATTTTATTGGAAAGACAAACAAATGAATCAATCCGTGAGACTGAAGACTCAAACTCAGCTGTTTTACGGGCCACACTGTGAGGCCTAAATTTCTGATCGAAAATTGAAGGCTTCTTTAGCTGTTAGTAATAATTCCCCAGTTCAGTGAGCAAAGGCTATTTGCTGAGTCAAAAAAGTTTTTTTTACGCAGTGGTTCAAGAGGTAATTTATTTTTAGGTAAATACTGTAATACATCTTACTTACACAATGAATATTAGTGCCATTAAGAAAATGGATTTGAAATCGATTCTTCCAGAAATAAATGTTGGCTGTGTCTATCTTGCCTGTTGTCCTTCAGATGAGATGTTAAACCAAGGACCTGTCTGCCTGTTCTGCGCTGGGGCATTAAAGATCCCATAACATTATTGCGAAAGAGAAGGACATTTCTCCCGGTGTCCTTGCCGACAAACCTCTAGATCTAGGATGTCAGACTGACACAGTTGATAGCACTCAAGCCTCCAAGTCAAAAGGTTGTGGATATAAACCCTACAAACCCATATAATCTAGGCTGACACTCAAATGCAGCGGTGGGAATGCCATCCTTCAGATGAGACATTAGATCGAGGTTCTGTTCAGGTGGACGTTAAAGATCCCATGGCACTGTTTGGAAGGGAAGACCTTTACAGGGCAGTTGGTGACGTGACAGCCACCTTGAACCTCGAACTCCAGGTCCGAGTTCCAGTGCAGTGTAACAGCCTTACTCAGCACCAGCTGCTTAATCCAGGTCCTCACGTGAGGGGCCTTGTCAAATAGACGCTGGGAAGCAGACTCCGTCTCCAAAGAAAAGGAAGTTTCTCTCAGTGGTTAACAATCCACCAGATAAATTGGATTTCATGGCTGTTGGGCTGCGCTCACCTGCAAATATGAAGTTACTACACTTTACAGTTTAGTCTGTGGAGCAATTTGAGATGTTTTCCTGTTTTGAAAGGCGTTGTACTGTCAAGGATTGTCATTATATTAGTATTATTATTATAATTTCTTGCGAAGTGTTTTGAGACAATCTGACCTCTGCAAATTGGACTGGGGACTGTTGCAATTGCAAAGCGAGGATTGAAAGTCAGTGAACCAAAGGTAAAAAAAAAAAGTTCCAGCGAGAGAAAATAAATTACATCAAGAGATGAGGAGTACAGAGAAAGGGAGGAGAAACTAGAAGAAAGAACATTGTGAAAGAGAATGACAGGCAACGAAAGCAAAGAGCAAGTGACTGGCAGGGCAGACAGACAGGTGGCAGAGTTGTGGCATTAGAGTGCTGTTCAGCTCTGTGGTCAAAGAGGTTGGATTGGGAACCTGCCAATTGCCGTCTTAGACAATAACATGTGCGCCCAGCAAGCTGGAACAAAAACAGGTGCACAATATCAGGCAAAGGATGAATGACTGTTGTAATCCCAAGGCTCAAGTGGTTTGTAAATGTTTTTCATTTTAGAGCTAGATTGACTTTTCTCCTTTGACTTGCTCCCCACTCTGTTATTTTGTATAAGTCAGTGGACCTTTTGTGCAATGTTCTTCAAAACAAGATGACCAGGTTGACACAGCGCACCCAGTGCCTGAATGAGATGCATAACTGTGCCCTCGGTTACGCTCGCCTCAATGGTAACATGTTTCAGTGAGATCTGCTTTACATAATCCTTTTATTCAATTTTGAGCTTTGTTTGGAATGAAAGTGTGTATTAAAGCTGTATTTAAAATAAGTCACATGAGGTGCTAATCTACGCAAAACATACACAAGTGGTTGTATTTAAAATCAGTGCACAGCTCAAGTGATGCCATCCGTTGCGATTTATCTCCCACAAGAGCCAATTCTGTGAGGAAAAACCCAATCTGAGCAATGGCTAACAGGCAAATCATACTCTATCTCACTACACTGTGGGAGTGAATGCAATGAGTGAGACTTTCTACAGATGACAAATTAAATAATAATAATAAATAATAAAAATAATAATCCTTGCATTTGGTATAGTGCCTTATCACGTCATCGAACCGTCTCAAAGTGCTTCACAGAATATACTCTAGCATGGAGTGATTGTGTATTTCTTGGGCAAAATGCGACAAGCAATGTTTGTGCACAGCAATGCCCCATAAACATCCATGGAGTGAGTGACCAATTTTATTAGGGGGATTTGTTGGCCAGGACACCAGGAGGAACTTCCTTCTCTTTTCGAATGGTGCCATGGGATCTTTATTGTCTACCCAAACAAGCAGACCTCAGTTTAATGTCTCAGCCAGAGATTTAACCTCCTACAATGCAACACCCCCCTATGCTGCATTGGAGTGTCAGCATAGACTATGTACTTCCAAACGCCTGAGTTTGCAGGATCTTCCAGCTATGATTCTAGCTCATGAACCTCTTTGCTTTGCTGTTGTGTTTTACAGGATACCTCAGTGAAAAAGACATGTCTTCAAAGAAATAATAAAGCACGATTAGATTTACTGATTATGTCAGTTCTGGTTGAGTGCAACAACACAAAATAACACTGAACACATAAAAGATAACAGTCACATCCACAGAATCAAAGTTGTAAATTTGCTTCAAGAGCACAGGAATCTTTTACAGCCTTTAGGGTAACATTTGCAGAACTCCTTAAATGTTTTAAAGATTGCTCCACAGAAATGTTTACTCTGAGTTTACTTAAAACATCTTCGCTGAAGTCTTGTGCTAAAATATGGAGCTGCAAACCTTTCAGGTTCTTAGCCTGGTCACCAGGGTAAAGGATAAATTGGCATCATCCACTCTTCCTCTAATGCCGCTGTGATCCTACTACCATAGCCAAACCTTTCGATAAGCAAACACTAGCCTGCTTCATGTCCACCTTCTGCTCTGCCCCCACCATCAGTGAGTAAGGTTCCAACCATTCTCCTCGTTACTCTACAGGGTGTCCCCAAAAGCCTCTTACCCCCTATTACAGAACAGTGATGTACGACAACAGAAGAGCTAAAACAAGCTGCCGGAGATGCATTTTGCCTCGTTATAGAAGATGTGACACCAAACTTGGCGGCAGATCATTATCTGCCATGAAAATAATGGAGCTCACATACAAAAATACATTCAAACATACTGAATACAATTAAGAATTTCTAAACACACAATTATCATCATTCCTCCACATGCTTTTGATCAGCGTACTTTGGAGAGAGAAAAAAAATGGGGGTACTGGGTCACGATAAAAGTGTAAGCATTTCATGGACATGTTTTAACTGCAGAGCAATCACTCTGAGTGCGGGAAATTAGGCTCGGAGACAGGAGGTAAGGGAACAACCTACGTTCAAGCTGCGGCTCTGGTCAGGCCCTGTTCTCAGCCACACTGATCGCAGGCTGCAGGTCAGGGAAGAGAAAAAGGGAAAGAGCTGAGGAGAGAGTCACATTTGGTGGTTGGAATGGCTCCCGGCAGCTGATACAGGGGCCGTGAATAGCAGTCTGACTGCCTCACCTCCACTCAACAAAGTTGTGTAGTTCTGCACAACTCAGAGATCAACTTAAAGAAAAGCGATCAAGCACAGCGATTGGAGACGATAGAACCGTCGGTACAAAATTCTCTGCTGGGTTATAATTATTAGTCGAACCTCTCGGAAGGAGAACCTGTGCTTTAAACAAGATAAACAAAAAAAAAGGTTTCTTTACATTCTGTTGTCTATTCAGTTAAAAACCACAGCAGCAACAACTTGCATTTACATAGTGCCCTTCACTCAGGGAACTTAACAGTGCCGGAGCCTGACTCCGAACCGGGAGGAGGTGACTGTAACCACAGTCGAAGAGGAAGGTCTATATTTGTTTTGTATCACATAGAAAGAAAGAGAACAAAGCGGTTGTTAGAAAGAAGTTGCGTCCTCTCACCTTGGAGTGAAACCCGCTTGGGAAGGATGGTGATTGCTCCCTCAGCCACCGCCTCCTGTCGTAACACCGGCGTGACCTTCGAACCCCAACTGTCGGATCCAACCCACAGAAAGTGGCCGGTCAGATTGGCTTTCTTCGTGGCCTCCAGCACTCGCCTGGACACAGAGCAAGAAACGGGAAAGAAATCGACTTTAAATTCAGGTTCGGCAGAAGCAAAAGGGGACACATGGGGACGCGCAGAAAATTGACCAGCCGCACTCCGAGAAGTAATTCACAGAAAGAACCACGACCTTTTACTTGACAGGCAGGTTGTTGATGATTCCCTGGGGAAAAAAAAATATCTTGTTGCTAACGCTGAGAGCCATTTCACTTAATCATTATTAATCCTGTTCTATTTCGCCTCATCTTCCCTATAAATAGCACGTTATGATTTGTTAATATCGTCCTTCAGGGAAAGAATGGAGACTCAAAGGCAATCTTGCATTTCGGGTGGAGGGGTTTGGGGGAAGGTTTAATTAGGTTGTGGTAATTAATTAAACATTAGGAAATCAACGTGCACAATTTTCCATGAGAAATGTTTCCCTGTTGCTTATTTTGTTTGGTTTCTCCCTATGTGCAGAAAGCTAAGTCATGCATGCCACACAGCATAGCCAAAACATTTTGAAATCACATAGTTTGCTTCACATATGGCTTCACAGATTTAACGTAAAAAATTTTCTTTTAGGTGGACAAAACATTGGTTCCTCCGAAGCACCTTTCACTTGATGCTTAGGGAGAAGGGTGATGCACTGAGTTTTGCTGGTAAGTTTGGCAATGGGGGTCTAAATCACAGGAATAATAATAATAATAATCCTTGCATTTGATATAGCGCTTTTCACGTCAGGAGGACGTCCCAAAGCGTTTCACAGAACACACTGTAAAGTGAATTGACTGTATATTTGTGGGCGAACGCGGCAGCCAATTGCACACAGCAATGTCCCACAAACAGTCGTAGATTGAAAATGACCAATTTATTATTGTTTTTGGTTTTTGGAGGGATTATTATTAGGCTCTGTGTGGAGTAAGGAAACTTGCCCAAGGTTTCGCCCTCTGCCTGGAATTGAACTCAGGTCTCTCGCTTGCAAAGCGAGTGCTCTAACCACTGAGCCACAGGACTCCACAATAGGATTTGCAAATAAGGAATAAGGAATGTCCCTGGATAATAATAATATATAATAATCCTTGCATTTGATACAGCGCCTTATCACGTCTTCTAGATGCCTCAAAGTGCTTCACAGAATATACTGTAAAGTGAATTGACTGTGTTTTGTGGGCGAAGCACGGCAGCCAATTGCACACAGCAGTGTCCTACAGTCATGGATTAAGTGACCAAATTATTATTATTTTTTTGTTGCTGTTGTTGAGGTATTACCCCCAAATAAGCAATCCGCCAATCTGACTAACAACCGGGTTCCTACTTACTGCTAGGTAAACAGAGGCGTGCGGAGTAAGGAAACATGCCCAACATTTCGCCCTGCTTGGAAATCAAACCCAGGAGCTCTTGTTTGCAAGGTAACTGTTGTAACCACTGAGCTACAGGACTCCATTGAGCCTCAGGCTCACCACCTGGAACACTGCTTTGATTCTGACAACAACAACAACTTGCATTTATATAGCGCCCAAAGGGTACTGTCTCGGAGCGCTTAGACCTGGTTTCTCTGAAGTTGGATCCTGGCCAAAGGAAACTCTCACCGCTCAACTCAACATGCCCTTTAACGCAGGTCAGGCCTGAGAATATCCTGATGCCTCCAGGATGTAAATCCTTACATATCCTATTGTGAGGTTTCCCAATCATAAACTCACATTGCCGGACTGCACTAAACGCACCATGGCACCAAGCTTCGCTGCTTAAACACTGATAAATTAGACAGAATTTCAGTCATTAACTCATTTGATGTTAAATCTCAACTTGAACCAAGCTGGATTCCACAGGTCAAATCCAAGTGAAAAGAGAAACTTAGAGAAATGGTTTTCTTCTAGAGAGCCTCTAACACAGACCTGCTGCACATCCCTGACCACTCCACACTGTTGGATGTCCATGCCTTTAGCAACCATTATCCCAAACCTCTGGAACTCCTGCCTCAATACCTCCTGCCTCAGCCCCTCTTTATCCATCTTCAAACCCACCCTAAGATCTACCTCTTCGACAGCTCCTATGGTCATCTCCTCACTACCATTTCTCCCTTGCTCATGCAAGAAGGGAACCATATAAATTCAAGTTGTTGTTGTTACAGATACGTGTATGTGTGTATATCAGGCCCATCCGCGAGACTCGAAAATTGACTTGATGTCTGGCCAGCCGCATGACACAAATCTCAGGCTCCACACTATCTGGTTTCCTGTGCGACTCAATGCTACCCTGTACACGATTCGGAGAGTCAAAAGACTGCAGGCAAGAGCATGCACTGGTCAGTGTGACTGAGACAATATCATTTGCTGCACTTGTTTAAAACACTTTATTCAGATTGGCCTTCTACCTGTAACAAGGATATAAGTGGATCCATAATCAATCCTTAACTGCAATCCTTAAGCACAATCCTTAACTGCCGTTCAGCTGGCTGTAAAGAGTCAGACTGACGAGATTTCTCCAGTGCTGGGCTGGTTCACACCGAGGCAGTCAGAGCAATTTGCTGACAATGTTCATGCACTGGAATGTCAGAACGAGAGCTGAGAGGCAGGGAAATACGATGAAAGGAAGTGGATGACATGGAATAGTGCTCAATAAGAAATAATTCTGTTTTATGTTTACCGAATGAGAGCTTATATTGTTTTGTTTGCATGTATTCTTTGGTGTGTGAGCACTTAAGATCAATATTTCAGAAGGATGTCTCTGCTGTGTCCTATATTCTGAATGAATCTGGTTCCAAAACCGCATCACTTGAAAGGTGTACTCTGCTTATGACCTTTTCTCTCACAGACTTTACTTTTCATTTCATCTGCACTCGCTCTCTGGAATTCCAGCCCGGAGTCACTCCTTCTCACTCCCACCCTCAAGACACATTTCAAAATGTACCTCTTGGCATCAGAATGCCTAAAAATGCTTCCGAGGTAATTATCATCAAGTACAGTCCACTTTTATAGACTATATATGGACTAACAAAGTTCCACAGACAGCCATGAGGTGAATGATCAATTAATCCAAAGGTCATCAGGAGAAACTCCCTTCTATGTTCAAACAGCATCAATTGGATCTTAACGTCCATCTGAGCAGATAGACAGACCTCGGATTAATGCCTCATGTACAGGATGGTGCCTCCAAAAAATATAACCCTCCTTCAAGTACTGCACTACACCATCAACAACCACAACAACAACTTACATTTGTATAGCGCCTTTCACGTCAGGAGGATGTTCCAAGGCGCTGGACAGTCAGGGATCTGCACCCGAGCTGATCTTTGGGATCAGAAGGTGGGGAGGGCGAGGAGGGAAGGGGTAGGAGGGTGACTGAAGGCACGGTCGAAAAGGAGAATCTTGAGACGGGTTTTGAAGGAGACAAGGGAGGGGGCGAGGCAGCGGGATTGTGACTAGACTAAATTACCAGCTCAAGTCCTAACCCGGGATTGATCCACAGCCTTCTGACCCAGCGGAGGGAATGCTACAGCCTCTACGATGGGTTTTAGGTGAAGATTTTTTCAACATTACTCACCTGATATCATCTTCACTAGCGAATATAATTACTCCCGAGCGTTGGGCATTTCCAGGAGGCGCTGGATGATTTTGTCAAACTGCGCTCGTTTGGGATCTCGTGGAATCTTCACTGACTGGGCTACACAGACTCCACCTGTGACAAGAGAATGGAGACAGGAGAGTTAGCTGTCATCACAGTGGGGAGTAAGCTGAGTTAAGGGGATGGAGAAATGGTAATGCAGGTGTTGTGGATTGATGAGATCAGATGGACCGAAGGGTCTTCTTCATCCAAGCCAATCTTGTGAGCTTGTGATCTCTCAGGATGGAGAAGCTTACTGATTGCTTAGGGCAAAGTTACAGGCAAGAACATTTAGTGCCAGTACCTCACTTTAGTGCCTGAAGGAAGGAATCCCGTATTTGATCTCATGTGTCATCACTGTCAGATATCACTGTCGAGATGTCTCAAGACATTCTTTACTGATTAATTGCATGTTTATGAATATTCGATTCAATAATTAATGATCAACTATGTAAGATTGGTTTGGTAATAAGCACTGCAAGGGCAATATAAAACACAGAAGACTCTACAGTATCATTGGCTGCTTACAAAGGTAAACTTAAAAATGTTAACTATTTGTCATCAGCAAAGGAAAAAATGTTTCTGTGGATGGTAACTACAGTCGATGTAAAATAGTATTGAAAGTCACAAACTTCACCCTTACGATAATAACATTAAAATAATCTTTGCATTTGATACAGTGCATTTTACAGCAGGAGGACATCTTGAAGCATTTCACAGAATCTTGCTGTAATGCATGTAACGGTCTGTTTACTGGAGTGATCATGTATTTTGCAGGCGAAAAAAATATACCTAAGTGCGAAAGAGTTGCTGACTGAGAACAAGGCAGAGAAAAGGCAAAGAGGTGGATGACAATAACCATGTGTCAACGGCCGCTCAAGACGAAGACCGAACACAAATTAGGTTTGCTTTTAAAAATGATGTGAACCTGAGGCTTTTAGTATCTTTGTACGTTTAGATGGTTAGAGGTAAAATGCCCTTGACGCTTCCGGTTAGAGGAGGGAATCCCCCAAAAATGCGATTCGGATTCTTTTTTTACGCAATCTTATTGGGAAATGCTGCAAATTAGACCACAGAAAACGCTGGCATTGATATTGAGGTGCCTGACTGTTTTATTTTGAGTCTTGTTTGGAAAGAGGTATCAGTCATTTGGAAGGTGTCTCTGTCGCCTGCCGTGTTGCAGAACAATCAGGTTCGTAAAACTCGTCGAACCATTATCTTACAGCAAAACATTTTAAACGTTTCATAATTGGTGTTTATTGCAATATAAAAATACTTGATGCACAATGTCATCAATCATTCAGGATCTGGTTATTGCCTTTGTATTTATAGCTTTACTGAAACATCACCGATGAAGGTTCTTGGTGATGGGAAAAGTTGCCTTTATAAACACGTTAATTGTTTATAGTTGTGTTAACTGAGCTTAGAAAACTGCTTGTGTTTGCTGATTGGTGCGTCCTAGCTTTAAATTGCTATGATTACAGCATGAGATGATTACAGGCACCAATCATTTGATGAAGGGGTTTCACGTGATGTCCTGGCCAACGATTCCGTCTGATAAATATTGGTCATTCACTTTGTGGCTGTTTGTGGAACATTGTTTAGCAGCCGTGTTAGCCGACAAACTACATAGTAAATACAGTGAAGGGCTTTCAGACATTTCAACAATGTGATAAGGCACAATATCAAATCCAAGCAATATTATTATTAATACTATCATCATTATAATACTTGCTGACTCAGTCCAAACACTTAAATCAATAAACCGCTTTACTCACTGGCCAGTTCTGAAGCATTAAAAAATGCATTAAGAAAATAAAATATATTTATTACTTACATATTAGCTACTTAAAATTGTACATCTTTATTACTTTGTACATGATTTCACCCAGAAGCTTTGCATATTCCTGATGTGATTTTATGCTAAATTAAGTTTGCTAATCTATTGAAATCAACTTTCATTATCATTCTTTCTAAGCTCAACATAATTCTGTGTAGTATTCACAACAGTAACTAAAAGCTTTATTTAAAAAAATTGCAAAGTGCAGTTATAGTCCTCAAGTTAACCATAAAACCATAGCAACGCATTCCATAATAGGGGGCCATTTGGCCCATTTGTTGGCGTCTGAGCGAGGTTGGGGGTGATGGGGTTGCAGAGTCTGGTGAGGAGTCTAGCATTGCCCTGCAGAGGAGGGCAGCGTTGTGGGGGAGAGGGAAATCGGAGCTAGTGAGGGCCAAGATGTTGGACTTGAAGGACAATTGGGAATCAAACAAAGCACTGAGGTTCCACACCAGCTCCGTGAGGTAGAGTGAGCACCCATGCAGATCATAATATAATAATAATAATAGTCCTTGCATTTGATATAGCGCCTTATCACGTCTTCCCTGTGTCTCAAAGCGCTTCACAGAATATACTGTAAAGTGAATTGACTGCACATTTTGTGGGCGAAATCCTTGCAGCCAGTGCCTGAGGTGAGAATGTGGCACTCGCCAAAGACACTGCTGTGTGCCCCTGGACTATGAGTTTGTGAGACGTGAGGTTTGAGCCCACAGTCTTTTGTCTCAGAGGCAAGTGGCTACCAACTGACTCAGGCTGAGAGTTTATTTTTATGTATCATTTTAGAGCTTTTGCATATTTATCTGCAGAAATAATTTTAAAAGAAGTTTGATGTGCATATTGGTCAATAGAAACAACAAGAAAAGACAAAATCATATGCTTAAACCGAGCATCTCTATAACACGCTTTGTAATTCTTTAAGCAGAACCATCTGCGCATAAGGGAAGTGAAATGTCAAAGTTTGCCTAAATTACAGTGGCAACAACAAGAAATTTATTCAGGACAATCAACAAAGGAAACTACTGTTCATCTCGTCTATAAATCTGGTGGATCCTGGCAGGAAGGCAGATGATAATAGTAATAATAATAATAATAATAATAATAATAATAATAATCCTTGCATTTGATATAGCACTTTTCATGTCTTCGAGATGAAATCGAGTCTCAAATCGCTTCACAGATTATTTACATTTCACAGTATTTTCTGTGAAGTGCTTTGAGACCTCTCAATGACGTGGCAAGGCGCTGTATCAAATGCAAGGATTATTATTCACAGAATATACTGAAAAGTGACTTGACTTAACGCGGCAGCCAATTACGCACAGCAGTGTCCCACAAACAGTCGTGGATTGAGTGACCAATTTGATTTGTTTTTAAGGAATTATTACACCTGGAAAAGCGATCCACCAATCGACTAACAACCTACTTACTGCTAGGGTTCCTACTCATTGCTCGGTAAACAGAGGCATGTGGAGTAAGGAAATTTACTCAATGTTTCGCTCTGCCAGGGAATGTTACTTTAATGTAATTTTAACAAGAGCAGCTGCAATTTAAATCTAAACTGTCGCCAGTTTCTTCACCTCTCTTGAGAATATTCAACCCTCCCCCTCTTGGCAGACTCTTCTACTGAGGAAATATTGCTGAGCCCGAATCCTGTCGTGACCTGACGGCTAACCATTGGCACCTCTAATATGATCACCGTACTGTAAACAGGAGCAGAACTCTGGCTGATGCCTCCCTTCTGTAACCCAGGGCGCTGAAGCCAATTTTCACACCCCTGCTATCACCCATCTCAACACAGACTCGGTCAAACTGGATTGTTTCTCAGGTGGTATGACTGAGTCACTCTCTGAATAAAGCTCACTGAATCGCCAGAGGGAAGCTTTCCAAACTGACGTTTATTAGACAACTCTTATTAGCAATGCTACACACTGCTGTATGTCTTCCGACATTAATCTGCAACAGTAATCACCCTTACATCTGACATAATGCCTATAACATCAAAACGTCCCAAAGCACTTCACAGATTATTGCTGTCAAGTGGAGTGATAGTATTTGTCACAAGGTCTCACAAAAGTGGTTCACCAATGGATCTGGACAATTGTTGGCTTAGAAACAAGGAGAAGCTCCTTTCTCTTTTCCATTAGAGTCACAGGATATTTAACATCCATTTGCACATGCAGAAAGAACCTCAGTTCAAACATCCCATTCACCAATTGAGTACCTCCCGACCTTACCCAGTGGTAAACCAGTTACCAACTAAACCAAGCTAACTAGCTTTTGCTGTAATCAGTGTATCAGGATGTTCCAACATACATTTCAATACAAATTTACATTTATGCAGAGCGTGAGGGGCATTATACAAATGCAAGCTATCGCTGGCTTAGCAATCGAGCTGGGGGTGGGAGCTGAGAGGGAGATGGGGAGAGATGACCGAAAGCACCATCAAAGAGGTAGGACTTGAGACAAATCTTAAATATCATTTGCTTTGCTTTAACCTGGAACTGCACAGCATGTCATTTTAATGCTGTGGCCTATACTTGCTTAGGTGTTTCCTAAAGGACCGAGGCCATGCCTTCAGTTTCTGTTTCACGTAGCAGAGAATAGAAATCAATAACTTGGTTTGACATCTTTTGTTTATGCGTATAGACATCATATCACATTCCTCAATCAGCAAAGGACAGCAATGCACTATAAAAGATGTATCCACCCCCACACATCAGTTAACAGAACAACGCTGTCCCATAAGAATGACAGAAGACACATAACTGAGGATAATTGATAACAGACGATATGATACTGGGAAGGCTTGATAGACTGTATCACAAGTGGATTATATTCTCTGTTCCATCAGTCTCTAGACATGCTTAAAATTCCACACAGAATTTCTGAAAAAACTACATTTATTTTATCAAGTTTTGTTTTGACACATTAAAAGCACACTTATTTTGATAGATTTTTTTTTCTCACAAGCTGAGTATTGATCTTCTGCAAAATGGATTTAATGTTATTAATAATTTTATTTTATTTTGCCTGAGAGGAACGTGATTGACCATTGGCGGTTAGCCGTGCTGCCACTCCAATGGGTGATGGGTAAACTAAACTTTTACACAAATTCGGATTTAAACTAATTCAGATTCCCTCCTTGGATTTCATTGATCCTCAGCTTTAACTAATAATAATAATAATAATAATAATCCTTGCATTTGATATAGCGCTTTTCACGTCAGGAGGACGT